GGCAGATGCAAAAGAGTAGAAACTAGCGTTTGAAGAAGACTGTTCAGCCGCCTTCATTTCTGTTCCTAATTTCAACAAGTGCTCTAGTCATGGTCTGAAAATCGACAAAATATTCATAGCTGTTGTCAGTTTGTCTTAAGGAAAATGAGAAAGGTGATGTTGTAGTTTTCATATTGCCAAATTTAGCTTTCCTAAATTTGTCTATGTGCAGGGAACCTTATAAACTCCCTTATGTACATATACAGGCTTTTATTTGAACTTGTAATTTGGCTGAGATAGGAATTTGGAACTCTTAAAGATCTGTTCCATTGAGGTCATGTGGTGGTGGTCCTGCTTAACAGACCTGCGTGCGTGTTTCAGAGTAACTAAGTTTTAGATACGGTTATCTGTCATGAAGTTTTAGCTTTCGTATACTGTCTGGCAAAAACGCTGTCAAGTGATCATCAGACTTGAGGTTTCATGAAAGCCTTAAGCATAATTCTCAAAGATGTCACTGTTCTTTGTGGAGTTGGGGGAGAGCTGTGGCGCATGCACAGGTTAGACTGTGTGTGGGAAGACTTCGCAGAGGTCAGCAGAAGCGAGGGGATCTTTGCATCAAGGAGACCCTGTGTTTGTTGGCAGCCTTGGGTCCTGACTAGCAGCACCCCCTTTCTTCATTCCCCAACAGCGTTCTCATTTCACTTTCTCAAACTGTTTTATGTTTTAAAATAATGTTTTTATCTTACCGTTGTAATCGCTACTTTTTTCCTAACAAAAATAAATACTCAGGACATTTTTGTAATGCAAAATACATAATGTTTTATGGTATGTGGTAGGGGCTGGGGAATTTAATGTCTTAAGTTTTGCTCCAGATTTGCACTCTTCCTGTGCTGTTTACCTGTACTTCCTCCATAGAATTCTAGCTCTGAAGGTTGAAATAAAATGTCAGAAATGAAACAAGAATCGCGTATAGAATCATGTTATAACTTAGGCTAATAAGCAGTTAGAGACTGTCTCTTTAAATGTTCAATAAGGGGCTAGGGATTTAGCTCAATGACACAGTGCTTGCCTGGCAAGCGCGGAGTCGTGAGTTCGATTCCCGGTACTAGAAAAAAAAAAAAACAACCAAACAAAAAAATAAATAAATAAATGTATGTTCGCTATAGGAAAGCAGCCGAACATTTAGATGCGTAGTTTCCTTTCTTTAGTGTAATGATAGCATGACAGTTGGGCTAAGTATGTTTTTCAGTAGTACCTAGCTCCAGCATATATTCAATATGAATTTTTAATTCTCCTCTATGGAATGTCTTCCTTATAGAAATGTTTACAGTAAATTCATTGTATTTTTTGCATATCAATGATGTATACTAAATGGATTTTAAAATGTTTTCCAGTTATCTTGAGGTATCGTTGTGGCATCCTTAATTTTTCTTCTCCTTCTGTATATAGGGTAAGGGACTGTTCTTCTGAAGAACCTTTCCATTTAGTGATCAAGATGAGGAAGCTGATCTCTGAAAATGCTCAATGTGTATCCTAATTGTTCATGTTACCATTTTGGACTTTAACTTGCATTTTAGCAACACATGTTTCCAGTTGACTTTTTAGGAAACAATAAAATTTTTCTCTTGAATTCGTGTTGTCTGCTGATTTTTTTTCCTCTTTGCTTGACTTTATCGTTTCCTGTTTTGTTTTTAAGTTGTAAACTATTTTTTGCCTCGTATTGCTTAGCTCCTGTTTCACTATCAGTAGACGTGCTTGTGTTCCTGTAGTTGAGGACTGGTGGGTTACTGTTAAATAGGAATCCTGTCACATTCTCCGAGGCCTTGGATGTTCTTGTGAATCTCAGTGACAGGAGAAGGTGTAGAGAGCAGTTTCCCAGAATGCTTCCAAATTTCCCACACTTCACCCCTTCATAGAACCCACAGCTTGAAAACAGTCTGAGGAACGTGGTTTTCCTCGCAAGCAGAATGTTTCTAAAGCACTTAGTGCAGAAGACCAAAGGGTATGTTGTACTCCTCTGATTTTCCTGGCAGTGAAAACAAGTAATGAGCTGACTTCCTTTTCTGTAGGAGTATAAATAAATTGGTTCATTATCCAACACATACTGGGCTTTCTACCTTCAATCTGCCCACTCTTTATTTTCTTCTTGTAAGGAGATGTTTCAGCATTTAAAACAGTGAGTAAACCTAGGGACAGAGAAGTGTGACTCTCCGGTGTGTGCAGAGCAGGGCTGGCGGGGGCGGTAAAGCTATGGCTATGAGGGAGATCCCACCCCAGCGGGGACTGCCCAGTGCAGTGGGGGCTGGTTTGGTCACGTTGGCTTTTTAAGAAATGAGTCAAATGGCAGTGGCTCCGAGTGGCTTTGTAGATGCCCTGTTGTAATTTTCTGCTTGGGCTGCTGGGCCGGAAGGTCCGTGGTCATCTCATGGCCATTTCCCGTGGCCCATGAAGTCCTTGCCTCGTCTGGTTGAGAGGAGCGTGCAGGTGTCCTGGTGGAGGTGGGGTGCTGCGCTCCTCAACACACTGCACACGCCCCCTTGGTGAGAAAGTCCGATAAACTCGATGAGGTCTCAAACTAAGGAATCTGAATAATGGAGGGCTAAACTTGGGAATTTATGAGCATTCCAAGTCTAAAATTTCCTTCTAGAGGGTTGCCAAGTGTTTCCTTCAAAAGTACTGGTAGAAGTTGGCTTCCATTGGGTCTGGAAAACAGCCACCAGTGTTGCTTGTTCAGCCGCTCCTGCAGCTGGCCCCCAGCCGTGAGCTGCCCTTTCCTGCTTCGCAGGTCTGGTGTCACCCGTGTGAGCTGAGCCTTTACCTCGGGCCTTAGGGGCACACTTGAGGTGGCTGCACGTCCTTTTCCCACGGACTAGCCGCTTGGCCTGTTCTAGGAGCTCAGTTACAACACAGAGGTCCCGGCAGCTATACTGCTACTAAGTAATCTTTACTTAAAAATTATTAATGCCTTTGCCCAGTAATTGAAAATGGCAGTGCTGGTATGTGTTTGACATATTTAAAGCAGTTTGGGACAATGATTGAAAGGCATCTGGTGGGGACTTTCAGTAGCTTTAGGTTCACTGGCATCCTAAACGAGCCTGGGTATGTTTCCAGTAAAAAATTTTACGTTACGAACATTGTTTCCTATATACTTCCATCTGATGACCTAGCAGGTAAGTTGGTGTCCAGAACTTTCCGGAGATGTTGAAGCCCAGAAGCAGTGTCTGCACTTTGGCAGGGCCCGAAGGCCACTGTAGTGCAGGCATCTGGAGGATGCCATTAGCAATCCTGGTTCCTCCGCTGACCATTCAGCTGCAGGGCGGCTCCACACTCCTCTGTCATTCTTGTTTCCCTGTTGTATTTTTTGAATATCTGCTGTAGGTCAGGCACTCTTTACCCACAGCCACCAAATCTCATAATAATGTGAGATAAAAGAATTCCATCCACTTTACACATCAGAAGTAAAGCAGAGTTCCAGAAATGATCAGCGTTTTGTGCTGGTAAGTGAAGAGCTGGGTTCAAATTCAGACCCTCTGGTTGCGGGTGGTCAGTGCTTCTACCCACTGATGAGCTCAATCCCAATGATGGAAGAGTCCATTTGCCGGTCAGAGTCCTGACCACCTAGTAGCAGGATAAGGTGTAAACGTGTCCCTTCCTCAAGTCATAAAATTTCAGTATTAGGACCCTAAAGTTGGAATGAAAGCCAAGTATGTAAGGAAGGTGGGAGTGGATACAAAGGGCTGATCAAAAATAAGGTTCAGGACTTTGACAATAGGAAGTGAGAAGATGGTTGAGTTGCCAGGAACCAAAACTGGTCGTGGAGTTGGGGATGAGTGAGTGCAAGTCTCGCAGTGTAGCTCTACGATAGAGACACACCACCTTGGGCTGTGAGTTTCATCGCCTAAGGGCAACTGACCAGTTCCTTCTGTGTGGTGCTGATACGGTTCCAGAAAATTCTTTTGAAGTTAACCTGAGAGGCTGAGTACACTCCCTGCGACCTTGCTTCTAAGAAAGCCAAGCCTTACTCTTGCTAAAGTAAGAAAGAAGCTATATTTGCTGTCTTTAGCACTTATTTCAATTACCCTTCAATACACCTCACCTGAACTCCGATACACCCTGAACTCAGATTTTCATCTCATTTGGGAGGAGGATACATAAAAACTTGGTAATACCGTGTGTTTGGTTGGTGGGTGGGGAGAGGCCTTTGGTGCTTTTGGGTACTGTGTGAAGTTCTAGTCGTGTAATTTGAGTTCACCAATCATCCACTTAAAACCAAAGCACATTTCACCCCCAAATAACCAAACCTCTGATTTGTTGCCTTCAGTCTTCGCATTTTTCAAAGTGTGAGCCAAGAACCATCTGCATTAAAATCACTGTGTTTCCTTGCATTTCTCACTCCCAGTTGTTTCAGCAGGCCTGATAGAAGCCAGGACTCTTACGTGTTTGTTTGCCTGACTGAAGTGGAATACAATCTGTCAGCCCTGGAGTCCTCCCTTTCCACCCTCAGCTGCCTGGGTTTCGGTTAACCACTGTGAAGGAAGCAGTGTACAGCCTTGGGGGCAAATTGCAGCAATGAGATTTGGGCTGCTCTGTGGGCTGTGATCTTAACGCAGTTTTTCCTTCAGCATTTTCAAACTATTGGGTCTGAGTGGAAATGGTTCTTTCATCCCATTTTGTAGCTGGGCTTAAAAGGGAACTAATACTACTTTCATTGTATATGGCAAAAGGCCTGAGAAACAGAAAGTTAGGATTTGAGAGAATCTAGACTCTCACGTAGTTTTTATGGAAACAGCAACTACCTTACCCTTTGAAGGGACAAGAACATGTCCAGAGGTCCGGATGGCAAGTGTACAGAGAGGGAGAAGGAAAGGTGTCCGAGGTGAGGAACTAAAGGAAATCACTGATCAAAGTTACTTTCACTCTTATATGACTGTATAATTGAACATAAAAGGATACAACAGCAAGTCAGTTATACCATTTATTGACAATGGAATTATACTGAAAAAAACAAAAGAACAATCGGAATATTTTGGCTTACTGGGTAAGACATCTCTTCAAAACGTAAGTGCAAAAGATTGTCAACTATGTTAGTATAGAAGCCCTTGTATAGACATTGCAGCAGTGATTCAAATCAACCAAGTGACTGTGATTTTTGTTTTTAATGCCTGTATCCCAGAATGGACCACATTTTAGCTAGGCTCCTTAGAATGGATTTGCGCACAGTGAAATGTATAAAAGAGTCTTTTTTGGTCAGCAAATGAGCCATTACCCTTACCTATAAAGGAAGGTGACAGACAGTTTAGCTTCTGAATATAGAATGGTCTCTGCAGTAGTATAGTTCGTTGGTGGAGTTTCTTTCTGGTCCTTGGTGTCTTAGTTTCTTCCTTGTGACTTTCAGGAAAAGACAAGGCTACAGATGAAACTGGTATTGGAGACCTTGGTGGCAGACATCGCCTTGAGGCTGTTTTAACCAATGATTGACTTGTTTGGGTGGTGCTAGGCCTGGGGGAGGCTTCTTGGCATGCATTTAAAATGGGACTTTGGAGGTTCTTAATATCGTAAGTTGCTATCAGTTGTTTTGTGGTGGATGGACCTTTTAGAAGGGGTGTTCTAGGAGTCCATTTATATTTGTTGGTGTCGCTCCAGTTCCATCTTGAAGTATTTTGTTCAAGCTTGGCAGAACCAGAATTGGTTTTTGCTTTTTCTCGACTTTTATCCACGTAAGACATCTGAAGACTCAGAGAGTCAGGAAGTTTTGCCTGTCTCACTCTTGACACAGCTTTGGAGGAGGACGGTTGTTCGGAAACCGCTGAACCGCAGGACGACATGTGTAGTCTTGGCCTCTCCTTTTGTATGGTCGTATGCTGCAACCTTTCCAGTTCCAGTAAACGAGTTATCAAGTGCTCGGTAGAGCTGTCTAGAGGTTCCACTGCTGCTTTCCAACTTTCACATTTTGAGAGGGCCAATTTGTGCAAGTCCAGAGTATCAAAGGGCGGGGGAAGAAAATCAGGGTATAGAAATGCTTCGCTGGGTTCCTCAGGGAAAGATTCCTCACCGCTGTCTACTGTTTCCGGCTTTAAATTCAGGTCCATCTTAAAACAGCCAGGTAATGTATCGTTTGCCGTCTCATTCTCTGATAAATCACTTTCATCTGTTAAATTTTCTTCCACACTGCCGTTTCCATATCTCAGATTACAAGCTGGAGCGGGGAAGGCTTCTTCTTTGTTGTTTTCTGTAGTGGAACATGAATTAATCCGAAGCTCGTTTCTGCCCTTAAAAAAGTCTCCATCAGCATAGGACCAGGAGAGACCAGGCGTCGGCAGTCCAGCGTGAGAACTGGCTTGTGTACCGACTGGGGTGCTTGTCAGAGAGCGGCTCAGGGTGCAGAGCTGTGTGGAATTACTGGGTACATCAAAGCCAGTTTCCACTGAAGAGTTTTTGAATTCCCTTTAAAAAATAATGTGACTGGTGAATGATTTATTGACTAGAATTAAGGTGCTATTTAAGGATATGAGTAAAAAGCTTTATCAAAATTGGCTGTTTAGCTCTCAGTGGTTGATAGATGATAGAGGAAAGAGTTTTTTTGGATAGATATCCGTAACAAATGTTAAATTCCACATATGCTCGGTTATAAACTATACAAATTCAGGTGTACCTTGAAATGTTCCTCGGCATCCTTTGGACACACAAACATAACTCACTAGATTATGAGCCCAAAAATAGCTCATTGAAGCCATGCATAGCCACTAGGGCAAAAGTGGCTACTGTTACATCTCTTTGCCTGTCCTGTACATGAAATTATGACGTGTGAAAATGAGGCTATCCAGCTCAAGCTGAAATTACAGTGAAATGCTCATTGACCCAGTATTAGATAAAAGGAAACTTTGAAAGAATGTAATTAGGTTACTTAACCACGGCTTCTATATAACTACTTCACTTTTTCAAAATTATTATAACAAGAAAGGTAGTAAACAATGTCTAGTAAACAATCCCAGATATAGTCTCTGGTAATTATTTTAGGAGTAATATTTGTAGGTATTATATTTAAATAATACTAAAATCTATACAAGTTATACTGAGAAATGCAAAAAAAGCAGGCCATAGATTAGGGAGTTTCTAGAGTTTTTTTTATTTTAAAGATAAAAGAATGAAAACATACTAACACATTTTCTAGGTTTTTTTTTTAAGATAATTAGAAATTGAAAGATTTGACATTGAAAGATTTGGTTCATTTAATTGCATGTAGTGTCAGTAACTCTTGCTTTTTTTAGGCCCCTAATAGGAAAGATGAGGGAGTCTAGGATCCTGAAAAATATTTTTGTTTTTACAGAAACTGGTAAATGTATTCATTTAGCTAAATACTAGGATATGGCCTTGCCTTTGAACAACCTCAGGGAAAATCTAAATGTACAATTTTTAAGAGACACAAACCCGTGAGGTAGAGTAAAAAGCACGAGCTCTGGAGGCCGAAGGCCCGGGTGTGGCCCCTCTGCCCCCGCCGAGTCAGTGAACTAGAGACGGCCGTTCCCCCTCGGGAGTCAGAGGAGCAGGCAGCACTATCTGCAGGCGTTCTGTGAGGGGTTCCCCCATTCAGCGCAGGGGGAAGTTAGCATTACTTTTACTCTCTCGTGCTACTGATTATGTACACACCCCATGTACTGAGGAAAATATTTTTTTTTTTTGTCTTTTTGAGATAAGGTCTCACTATGCAATTCAGGCTGGCCTTGAACTCACTTATTTAGCGCAGGCTGACCTCGAACTCCACTGATCCTCCTGCCTCAGCCTCCCAAATGCTGGGATTTTAGGTGCGCTCCACCGCGCCCAGTGAGGAGAATATTTTTCATAAGATATTTCACTGATACCAAACTTTCCTGTGTGCCCTCACGAAAGGCAGCCAGTATTAACAGGGAATTCCTGCACACATGCAGCCCTGTTTAGCCCTCACAGTAGCCCCCAGGAGATGGGCTCTCAGGGTTTCCACCTTTTAAGATCAGGACACCGAGCGGCTGAGGTCGCAAATCCAGTCAGTGGCAGCCAGGTCGTGGATAAGGTGGCAGGGATCTCACGGTTGTGACCCCAACCTCTGCCTTTTCCTGCCAGATGGATGCTCACGCCTCCCTCCCGTGATGGAATTCAGCCCATTTTCTTTGACCGCTTTCCTTAAAATCCCTGTTCCCAGCCTGGCTCCATCAGCACAGATACCCACTTAGGACACGGCTCACTACAATTCCCTTTAGCACTTTTTTACTTCCCTTACATTTCAACCTAAGGGAAGCTGCAGTCTGGGCATGGCAGAGGTAAAGTCCTCTGGCCAGGAGACAGCTGCTAGCAAGTGAACTACTCTGCTGAGAAGAGAAGAATGGAACACAGGGTGTCCACTGTAAGATTGGCACAAAACAGTGTTCAATAGGAGGTAATTTCTGAATACCAGCAACCTGCATTTTTAAACAGTCTAGGTGGTTCTAAGGTACAACTGAAATTTAAGAGCCGAAAAATAATCCCACTCCAGTAAAAGTTTGAGAAGCAATATACAACTAACTGTGAGCATGAACCAAACTATTTCTGCATCCCAGTTCTACACCTGCTGTAGGGCTTTGGGCAAGTTACTTAATTGTCCGTATCGCGGATTCCTCATCTGTAAAACAAGGATACGGACAGTGGTACTTACACTGTAAGACTGGCAAGAGAGTTCAATGCGTTCACACATATAAGGAATTAAAATAGTTCCTGGCACATGAAATAGCACTTTCCTATTATGTGATGTGATTGAAAAACACAGTGAAAGTTTAAGAAAATTATTGTGGTAAAAGACATTGCTATTCATCCCCCTCAAAAATATCCCCTGCACTTCTAACACATCCCTTCATTCTTGCCGCTTTCTGCAGCAGTTCTGGAAGACCTCTTTCATGTGTGTCTTTAACTGCAGTTGTGCTTCCTCAGCATCCTGAATTGATTCACAGCATTTACTTTTCATGGTCCTTCTGACTTTTTTTTTGGTACTGGGAACTGAACTCAAGACCTCAGGCTTACCAGGCAAGCACTTTTCTCACACAACACTTTTTTTTCTTCTGGTTATTTTTTGGTCCTTGTATTTTGAGTAATTAACTCACATATATTGAGCTTTGTCTCAATAATTTAAAGAATTACAAAAAAATATTCTCACCTGTTCTCCATGTCACGTTCATCATTAAAGGGATAACTCCATAACTGGAATATCCCTTGTTTGCTACTCTAATAATAGAAAAATCATGGACAATGTTTTAGGAACTGCATGAAATTTTTTTAAAGAAAATGATACTTTGAATATGACGTGGAAGATCTCACCTGTGCTCTCTGGGGAAGACGCGCTGACAAACTTAGTTCTAGCATCAGCTGCATGACCGGAATCTCCAAGCGGTTCTACAAAGCAGCAGAAGATGTTGAAACACATCTCTGTCCCCTGCTCGTGTTCTAAGAATGTATCGTTTTCGTCCTAACCAAGGAATACATAATAAAGTCCAATGTACTCACCTGAGGCATATAAGAAAAATTTTCTCTTGATTTCAGCAGAAACTAGCTTATTCTATTATTAATACCAACTAAACAGTGTTGACTAATGAATCTTAGGTAGCTATAATTGAGATTACCTTTATTTTATAGTTGTGTTTAATATTTTAATCAAAAATGCTATCTTAAGGCATTAACTTTATACTATTTCAAAACAGGGTACTGACCATTTCAACTGCTTCAAGACTTTTTTTTTTTTTGTCTTTTTGAGACAGGGTCTCCATATGCTGTTCAGGTTGACCTTGAGCTCACTTTGTAGCCCAGGCTAGTCTCGAACTCACAAGGATCCTCCTGCCTCAGCCTCCTGAATGCTGGGATTACAGGTGTGCCCCACCATGCCCAGCCTGCTTGAAGACATTTTGAGGGCTAAGAGTATTTCCCTTTTGGCAATGATTAGAAAACAGTATATTTACTACAATATCAATTTGCAATTACAGTATTGTTATATGGGAAAAAATAATGTAACAAAATATTAATGACCAATTTACAGCCTTGTAAAATAGTAACAGCTTTGATTTATTTGATGAACTCTACAGAAATACAATGTTAAGTTGGCAAAAAAAATGTAAAGAACATGTATATAACTTTTAAAGAGTAGGTTTTGTGACTTACATAAAGCCAAACATCCTTACCTTTTCAATTTTGCCTGAAAGAATGTGAATAAAGCATGATGATTAATAGTTACATAAAGCAGGTATTATTTTAAAAAACCCCTGTAGAGCGAGTCCATGTCCCCACAGAAGCATACACGTCCAGGATTTCTTACCACAAGTTGTACCATTCCTTCCACATGGGAGATTTTTATTCTCAGGAGCAGGTACTTCTGAATCCAAATTCCAGTAAGGTAAGTTCTAAAACAATAGTTTTAAATTAAACATGAAAAAAATTTTAAAGCTCAAATACACGACTTTACACGTCCTTTAGGTAAAGTAAGACAAAATATACAAAACTTAGTGACCTCCTGGCCTCCTGCAGGGACGCAATCACATTTTGGAAACGTGCAGTTTTCTCTCGGTCACACCTGCTACTCAGGTTGGTCACACCTTACTCAGGAAATGGAAAGGCGTTCACAGTAACTTAGGTTTTTGTTCTCATTTTGTCCAAAGTAATGACTTAGGGGTTTTCAAAATTGATTTTAAAGTAGAAAAGAACGTGCTGTTCCGTGTGTCTCTGGGACAGGGTAGCAAGTCGTTAGGTTTTCTGTATCTGAGGACCGGATCTGAAAGCCTGCAGAAATCTCTCCAACAACCAAGGAAAATCTCTAACCCTTGCATTATATTCAGCACTAACCAGCCCACTCCTCATCCTGGATTTCAGCTGTTGAGAAATATTCAGGAAGTGGTCAAAAGGAAGCTTAACACAAATGACCAGGGAAAGGTACTTTCTGTTCCGTGCATGGGCCGTGTGCAGGGGATGCTTGTAATACTTTATTCTGGAAAAAAGAAAGTGATAAGGTGATTCGCTTGTGAGAATTTTTTTTTTTTTTTTTTTTTTTAGGAATAAGCTTGGTTATTTTCTGTCTCAAATGAGAACACACCTTTGTAAATGAATCTCTAAGTAAACGTAGTGTTGGGTATAACTGCGCAGAATCTCCACACTGAGGCCGAACCGGGAGAAACAGGCTCCGATACAACATGAGCATTTAATTTACGCACGGAGAGGACTGATATTTGGATGCGGAAAGGACGCTGTCAGTTACCTTTCTCTGGAGGTTTCTGATACATCAAATGCATAATTTTCTGCTCTCTGGGATAATATATATGAGGTCTAATTTCCACGAGAATCACCCAGAGAACTTTTAAAACATAATTTTGAGGGTGAGGCTCAGAAGTGGGAAGCTTGCTTAGTATCTGTGAAGCCCTCTGCTCTCAGAACTTAAGAAACAGTAGGAAAAACCTTGCAGTTTCTGACTCAGGATGCGGATGAGGCCCAGATGTTTGTATTTTGAAAACCTCCCGAGGGGCCGGCAAGCTCTTTTCAGTTATGTAATGCTGGGACACTAGTGTCAGAAATGCCCCTGTGAGGGAAATATCTGTCTATTAAAGCAGGAAGGGGTGGATGCTAGGAGCTCTACTGTTTATAGGGAGAAAGTAACACAAACATCCTTGTCACTGGAAAGGAGCCAGAGAGGAAGTCATCCAGTTTGCAAATTTCCCAAGGGCGGGAAGTTAGACTTTGCTGATACCTCATTTACTTTATCAAGGTTTTTCACCAAGTACATGCAAGAGAATAAAAAAGTGGGCATTGCCTGGTTAACGGGCATCTTTAACAAAATCCAGTAGCAACGAGTGTTCTGAGATTTGGAAGGACGCCAACTAACTCCCTTTATTAAAAGAAATAAAAATTCTCCGTTCGCTATCGCAAATGTGCCAAGGGAAAGCTCAGCGCAAACTGCTCAGGACAGGAAGCCGTGGGGCTCAGCGGCCCGGCCTGGGGAGCTGCTGCCGTTGGAGCTAAGGCGCCGGCCGGCCGTACCTCCTGAGAGACGCTGGCCACGCTGAGCACGGGCCCCCAGGCCTCGCTGGGTCTTCTCCCCATGGCGCCGCAGTCGTTCCTCTGACTCCTTAAAGGCCTGTAAGGATCGTAGGACGGGCACAGGTATGAGGAAGGCTCACGCATACAGAAGAGAGCGCGAGGGGGCTCCTCTTCTAAAGGAGGCTGTTATGGTTTGTGTCTGTGTGTCCCCCCAAAGCCTCATGCGGCCATGGGGCAGGCTGTTAGAGTTTGATTATGGGTGTGAGAGCTATACCCACCCTGGGGTGGATAGTTTGCATATGTAAGGGAGAGGAAAAGGGTGCTTGAGGCCATTCCACCCTGGTGTGTGCTTGTTGCTTTTGCTGTGTTCTGCCACCCTGAGCTGTAGCCCTCTGCCATGTGCCACTCTGCCTTGTAACTTGCCAAGTACAGACTGAAACCTCCACAAACTGTAAGCAAAATAAACTTTTCCTTCCTTAATTTTGGGTGTCAGGTATTTTGTCCCAGCAACGAGAGAAAAGTAACAAAGACAGAGGCCGAGAAAAATGTTGAGAGGACAGGAGACAAAGCTCAGTGATGTGGCTTGCGGTGGATTCCATCTCCGAGCAGGAGAGAGGAAGAGAAAGAAGGAAAAGGAAGGAAAAGAGGAAGGGAGGAAGGAAGGAAGGAAGGAAGGAAGGAAGAGGGGCAGAGAGGAAGAAAGACAAAAGAAAGCAAGGCAGAGAAAGATGGAAAAGAAGGAAAAATAGGAAGGAAGGAAGAAAGGAAGAAGGAAGGAGAAAAAAAGGAAAGAAAGGGAGGAAGGAAAGAACCCAAGAAGGATGCGAATCGAGGCTGGGTCACCGTGTGAGATGGGTGAGCCAGGACCAAGGGGTGAGCTAGGCCAGCAAAAGCCCAGACCACAGCCAAAGGGCCAACATAGGGGACAGAGACGAGGAAACTGAGCTCGGAGGTGAGAACAGAGATAGTGATTAAGAAAATGGAATGCAGGTTGGAAAAAATATGAATTATCTGGAATTCATGCAAAAGGCCACCATATCTGCTTTTCACATTAAAAACCAAAGCCTCCATTTGAAGGCAGGGTTGGCCTTATGCATGAGCCCAAGAGGGGTACAGAGACACCGCCGGGCCCAAGTTCAGGGAGCAACCTACACATCCAGCCTGGAGTCCAAAACCCCCACAGCCAGTAAGGTACAAATATTGGAGAACTGGAAGATTTTAGACCAAGCAATCCTGAAAAGATTCACAAATTAAGGCCACCTCAGCATCGGTATATTTGCTAATCATTTACAGCTGTTTTATTGTCTCAAGGGGAAGGTGTACTTTGAAGAAATGGGAAATATAGAGTTCAGGGAGTTTGTGCACCAAGACGAATTAATCTGCCTGCTCCCCCGAATTACATACGTAGAAGGATTGAAAAATGTAAGAGGAAGCTGAGTGTGGTGGCTCGAGCCTGTAATTAAAGCACTCTGGGAGGCTGAGGCAGGAGGATCTCAAATTCATGGCCAGCCTGGGCAGTTTAGTGACCTAGGGAGAACCTGTTGCGAACATTTTTTAAAAAACTGTAAGAGGATGGAGACCGCTGAGTAGGGGATCTGCCATGCCACCACCCCAGGTCCCTGTCCTGGAAACAGGCACCCACCTGGAGGGACCGGAAGACAGGCCATCATGAGTCCAGGGAAGGGTACGTTAGGGGTATCCGGGGCAGGAGTCTGGGGGACTCGCGGCCTGTCCCCTCCCAGGCGGAGGCTGGGCTCCTTGGGGCCTGGCCAGTGCAGCCTGCTGTGAGGCTCGCGGTCACCAGGCGGGGCCGCTTACCCTGGGCGCCGGCCCACGGGTCCTCCCGGATCTGCTCTGAGGGCACGACCGCCCCAGCCCCTGAGCAGCGGGGTAGGGGACTGCAGGGCCGCGGGCCATAGTAGTCCTGCGGGGTGCAGCTCCATGGGCGCTCCTAGACTTACCCCTTAGCCCGGCAACGCCTTCCGGTCGCCTGGCAACACCCCTTCCGTTGCCCGGCAACGCCCCAGGTCCCTGTACTCCCGGGTCTGGTCGGCTTTTCCCTGGACTGAGGAGCGCTGGAGTTCTAACTGTACTTGTAACACATTGTGTGTTAAATAACAAAACGAAAGAGAAGGCCCCCCTGCTGAGAGCAAGCCCGCCTTGGGTCCCGTTCAGATCAGTCATAATTAAAAGAACACAAAGGTAGAGTTTTTTGTTCTGCTTGCATATGTTTAGATTGTGAGGGCCCAGGTTTTTAAAAATTTGTTTATTTATTATTACTATTTTTAATGTATGTGGTGGGAGGGATCGAACCCAGGGCCTTGTGCATGCAAGGCAAGAGCTCTACCACTGAGCCACACCCCCCGTTTTATACCACCAAATGCATCTCCTGCTATAGCTCTACGAAATACGTGGGGGGGATGAAAAATATATACACTCATTCCCTCTGCTGTGACAGTTTGATACAAAGAAAAATTTTAAATAATGCAAAGATAATTATATGAATGAGTAAATGACTACTGAAAGGTCAGCCCCAGCACCACACATAAAAAAAGACAAAACACTTTGTCACTTCTTTATAACAAAGGATCACACTTGAGAAATGTTTGTTCTCTCTCACTGGTGAAACTAGTGTGTTCTACAGGTTGAGCCCGAGGGTATGTAGATTCAAACCCCGAAATAGTTCTTTTTTGTTTTTGTTTTTTTTTTCCAGTACTGGGAATCGAATTCACGACCTCGCACTTGCCAGGCAGGTGCTGTGCCGCTGAGCTAAGTCCCCAGCCCCCAAAATAGTTCAGTAAGTACCTAAAGGGCCCTGGTACTGAACATCTGGAGGACGCAGTCTCAGGCCCCTTTGAGAACATTTTCGGAAAAAATGAGCGCACAGCTCGACGCCAGATAAGGAAGGTTCGTGAAGGTCTCTCAGATCTCTGATCACCGCGCAAACAGTGGCAACAGTGTCTGTCTCCTCCCTCGCGGCCCGCTTTCTCCTCAGAGGGGTCTGGAGAAGCCCCTCCGCCCCTGTGACTCTGTTTCATAACACCCCCTGCTGTTCTCGTCTTTGTACTCCTCACGATCTTGTTCACTGCTAACTTTTCCACTGTCCGTCTCTCCCCTGGAGAAGGCAGAATTCTGAGAGCAGCGGCCGTGCCGGCATGATTCATTAGGTTTTCCCCTCACTTTAAAACGAGGCTGAGCCCACGGCAGGAGCGCAGTCAGTACATGAGGAGGAATAAAGCGGGCAGAGGCCTCGCTTCCTGCTGCCTCCTTGGCGTCCCCCTGCTATGTAGCAGGTACGTCTGATATTTCCCAGTTTCCTCAATTTTCCCTCTCCTTTAGGACAGACATCATTTTTGCTTTCCCTGTAATAAAGTTTTTTTTCTAATCATCTTTAAAAAAATCTTTTTAGTTAAATTCTAATCATACAGTTCTAGCTTAAGAGTCATTTTTCCTGTCTCTTCAGGAAGAAGAAATTACGATCTCCTCCAAGGTCCTTATTTTGGGTTAGAACGACTTACTTTCAATTCCTTGTTCATGTTAGGATTATTCACGTACAATATCTCACCATCTTTTTCAACACCACAAAGGCAGGCCTTTTTTCTGTCTAGCAGAATGCCTGGTGTACAGTAGGCTCTCATTTCTATCTTTTATTTTGCTCTTTATCTGTAATTTGGGTTTCTCATAGAAGAGAATCCATGTGCTATTTAAGCTTGTGTGTCTGATTTGTATCACTAAACATTATTATCTCAAGGTCCATCCATTTTCCTACAAATCTCAAATTCATGGAGAGTAGTACTCCACTGTGTATGAGTGCATTTCTTCTTGCCCCTCTTCCTCTGCTTCTTCTCCTTCCTCTTCTTACTTCTCCTCCTCCTCTTCCCCTCCTCCTCCTCCCCTCCTCCTCCTCTTCCTCCTCCTTCTTCTTTTCTTTCTTTTCTCCTTCTTCTTCTTTCTTCTTCTTCTTCTTTCTTCTTCTTTTCTTCTTTCCTTCTTCTTCTTCTTCTTCTTCTTCTTCTTCTTCTTCTTCTTCTTCTTCTTCTTCTTCTTCT